TAAACAACTTTTCCAATGTTATTTTCAATCAAAAATGACGGAAATATATGCATAGGAAAAGTAACATGAGGGCTGTGTTTCATCCCTACAAAGAGCTGTTTGCATGCCCTAAATAGGGCAATTTCTTATAGCAGTTGTCCATAATTTTGTAATTTGTTGTTGTAATGCCATACTTTTCTAAAACATATTACACCATTATCTTATTGGCAATTTTGAAGCAACATACATGGCTGCTAATATTCCTCAGTGTATTTCAAGCTGATTGTACTGACATGATCTGCTTCAAGACTTCAGCTTTTCAAGGGAGAAGCCATACACAGGGAGGAGGAAAATTTGTCTGCTGCTTCATTATTATTGATTTCTTTTTCAATTTGCCCTTGTTTATCACATCCATTTATCGTTCTTTATTTTCTCCATGACTTGCCTAAGGTGCTTCTTCTTCACCAAATCCCATGGCAGAGGCCGGGAACTAGACACCCTCCCTCACTTATTTTATCCACCTGCATTAAGTATTTTTCTTACTTGCTCCATTTCTTGCTTGCATGGTTTCCTTTTTGTGCATTAGAAACTTAGTGAATCATATGAGTCCTTTTTTTTTTTTCTTTTCTATCACTGTAATGCAAGTTACAGTGCTGTCAATGCTGTCTCCTCTTTATGTTCTACACAAGATTTCTCATTCAATAGGAAAGACGTAATCGGTCTTTACTAAGAACCTGATTTGATTAACCATATTGGCAAATGGAGAAGTTTCCCTGAACAGTTTTTGTTAATTTGTCTTTCATCAGGTTACACAATCCCTTCTGTGTCCGGAGATGATGTCTAAATCAGCGATTGTCTGTGTCATGTGATATCTGTATAGCTCCCCTGGCTTCTCTATTAGTTTGGCCATATTTTGTTCTGGTGTTTCTGCAGTACTGTACTGGTGAGCTGCAATGCCCTCAAATAGCTCTGAAGTGCTATGAGGCTGGGCATGTTCATGAATCCTTTTGGCTACAGGAAATACATAACACAGAAGACTTGCAGTTGCAGAAATAAACCGTTTGTGATAAAAAGCTAGAAAAAAAATAGTGGTTTTATTTGTTGCTTGTTTAGTTTTTAAATCTTTGGGTGTGGAGTGAATAAAGCACTGAAAACTTCTCTAGAGAAAAAAAAAAAAGAATTAGCATGCTTCTTTTATTACAGTAGTACAGTAAGAAATATTATTTTTTTCTCATTAATTTGGTAAAATGCAAAGTAAGGATGTGTTTGTATTGGGTTTATGTGGCAAGGGCCTGGTAGCAGGGGGCTGCAGGGGTGGCCTCTGTGAGCAGAGCCCAGCAGCTGCCCCATGTCAGATCAGAGCCAGCTCCAGACGGCTCCAAAGGGACCTGCTGCTGGCCAGAGCCAAGCCAGGGACCAAAACTGTTTGGGCCTCTGTGAGAACAGACTGAAGAAAGAAACAGAAAGCCTGCTGTGCAACTGCAGCTGGGAGAGAGCAGCAAGACCCAGCCCTGCAGCCCCCAGGCCAGTGCAGCAGGAGGGCAGGAGGTGCTCCAGGCAGGCAGCAGCAGTTCCCCTGCGGCCTGTGCAGGGAGAGGCCCCTGGTGGAGCAGGCTGTCCCCTGCAGCCCATGGGTCCCACATGGAGCAGATCTCCACGCTGCAGCCCGTGGAGGAGCCCCGGTGGAGCAGGGGGCTGGGGGTGCCAGAACACCATGGGAGGGACCCCACGGAGAGCAGGGGCAGGGAGGGACCATGAAGGAGCAGCAGAGATGAAGCATCAGGGGCTGACCACAGCCCCATTGCCCATTCCCCTGCACTGCTCAAGGGGGGATGTGGAAGAGACTGGATAGAGGAAGGTGTTTTTAGTTTGCTTTTAGCTTCTCACTGCTCTAGTCTGTTAGTAATAAGCATTAAATTACATTTTTTTTTTTTTTTTTTTTTTTTTTTTTTTGTGGGAGATTGACTGTATGTATTCATATTACATCTTTTGTTTTTGCTTCTTTCTAGTATGGATTAATTTCGAACTCACAAAGAGTGTGCCTGTGAAATTTTCTGCTTACAGGTTTAAATTTGCTATGTTGAGCTTACCGAGCCCTTAAAGCTGGTGTTTTGGATTCAAATATCACAGTAAAAATTGATGTTTAATCTAAAGAAGGATCACAAAAGACCTGACAGAGATTGTCAAAGCACAAATTTAAATTCCATTTCAGCCAATAAATAATTCAGTAGAACATTAGGGCTTTCCTCATTTTGGGTGCCCCAAGGAGAAGTGGAGACATAAATTGTATTTGTTTTGACTCATGGGAGTCTTTCTCCAGAAGATAAGCTTTTCTTTAGGTTTAGGGAATGAGTTAAAATCAGCAACACCAGCTGGCTATCCTAGCATTTCTTGATCCCTATATAAGCCACGAGGTACAGTTAGTGCATTTAACTTTCTTTCTTGGTCTTGGGGTGCAGTTCAGGCCACAGACTTTAAGTCATTTGACAAACCGAGGATCAAAATAGTAGAACGAATCTTTGAGTTGAGTATCATAAAGTCTTCTTGTAAGGACTATCTAATTCTGTTGCTTATAATGATGTAAGATGGAGAGTCAAGTAAATTATGGTGAATTGCTTCTGCTCTCTATTTTAAAGATTATTTTGAAGAGTGTGGCTTTTGAAAAATGCTGAGGAAAAAGCAATATTTCAACTTACTCAGCAGCAAAGACTACAAAATGAGCTGTTCATAAAGTTGTTTTGGAACTCAACAACCATCATTTTAACTACTGTTTTCTTTGCCTCCATTTTGTGTGGCCCTTGTGTGGTTGGTTGTATGAACATAATTTTTATTACTGGCTTCCTGGGAGCACTGAAGAAGTGCATAAGGATTTTCAGACTGTAAATCTTTTTTGTCATTACAGAATACATTTCCTATAGCAGGAAAAATAAAAGCAAACTCAGGAAATACTGGTATTTGTGTTGTCAGTGAACCGTGACCTAAGAATTTGCAAATTGATTCCTTGAGGTCTTTTAGATCAATCACAAATGCACTTGCACAAATACTTGTGGAAGAACAGGAACAGAAAGATGAGGAACTGTTTAATTAAATTCATACCCAGATCACTTTTTCAGTTTGAAATCTAACATAAGAGCAGCTGTAGTTGTATAGACCAGAAGTCCATGGGGTGACTCCCTTCAGAGAATACATCCATAGGTTGGTTTATGCCCTTTACGTAGTCTCCATATGTTTTTCTCTTTTACTTCATTATCCTTCTGCTAACAGTTTTATTAGAGGCAAATCTAAAGGAAGTCTGCTGACATAGGATCATTCCCAAGTGTCCTCACTGTGAACACTGATTTTTCATTTTTATTTTTTAAGTTTTTCTGCTAATTTATTAGTTTCTCTTAGTGAAAGATCCCAGGTTTCCATTCACACCCAGGGTAGCGAAGTACTCATAATTAAAATATATTACCTTACCCATTTTAAATAAAACCTGAACAAGTCAAGAATTTGACAAATTACAACACTTGGCTATATTGAACTTGTTTTTTTCTCTGCAACCACCTAAAATTCTTTGTTTTAATTAGTAGTTAGTTTTCTATTTTGATAAATTTGCCCGTTAAAATGTACAACAATAACTATCACACATTTTGCCCAGATTGGTACTGGTTACACAGCAATACAATCCAAGCAATTTAGATGCAGCTACTCCCAATTCATATCCAGCAATAGCTAAGAATATGGGTAACTTTACACATATAACATGACACACTGATTTTGAATAAGACTATTGAGTTTGTCAGATTTTCTTTACCCTAAAAATTAGCTTCAAACCAACTGAAAAATTATAAACTTATGTGTGGTTAAATAGCTTTGAACATAATTTTGGTTTGCAGAACCATTGTTAGAACCATTTCCAGTGTAAGATAACATGGTATGTCTTCGATTAAAATACAAATAGCAAAATTGAACATAATATGATTTAATCAAGGAACTTCATTATATAAAATTTCCAAATATCCTTTTGCCATATTTCAGCTAGCCTCAGGAGATGATGCTGTAAACCTGTAGACCAAATATCTTCTTTTCCAAATATATCCTTTGCTTTTAGGGCTTCGAGTGCCACATGGATAAGCTAGATTTCCTCTTTTAATGGTCAGTGAAAAGTATGCCAGAACAGGTAAATCTGGAAAGGAGTTTTCCTACTATCATGAGTAATTATGCTGTCCTGGAGCCTATGTCCAGTGATTTAGTACTGCAGAGGTTAAATTGAGTGGTAATGTGCCAGGAATTTCACTCTGAGTTGCCTCACAGGTTTGTAGCTAAAATAACATTTGCCTTTACTAGGTAACTTCTGAAAAAGATGCCTTTGTATATGCTCCTCTACACATTTTAAAGCTTGATGAAACTTTAAGACTGCATTTAGGTTTGTCAGGGGCTTCTTATTAACAGCCCTACTACTCTAATACATGTTGCAGCTGTGAAGAAGAGCGTGTATGCCACAAGATCAGTTTAGAGGGATACATTTGTTTTGGGATTAGGATGGAAAAAAATCGAGAAGTAAAAAAATCCATTTTGAGTTCTTGTTAGAATACTGTCTATGAAAGGAAACAAATACCAATAGATGGCACTGTGGTTCTGTGGCTCAGGTGTTACTTGCATCTGTGTAAAGTGTTTTGTTGCTATTTATTTATGATGCTTGTTAATTTTATTCTTATAGTGTGACTTTTTAGGAAAATTAATGTACTTGGCTTATACTGTTGCAAGTACGTTGTTTCTGGGACTGAAATGTTTTAAGCTGTATGTATTAGTCCAAAGAGTTTAAAACTTTCCATGAGAACTGCTGTCTTAGGAAAAAATGATTGCAACAGCTCCTTGTGGACTGCAGTCTTCTGAGATAAATGGTTAAATTCTGCAACACAGTCTTTCTCTTTGTTGGTTGAGCAAGATCTGTAACCCAACTTTAGCTTTCAGCAGACATACTGTGGGTATGTAATGGGGAAATTAAACCAAGCCAAAATTACTACTTAAGACAAACCTCCAGTTTATAAAACAACTGATAGCATTTGAGCATTTTAATCTGCTTTACTAGCAGTGGGATGTGACAAAACAGTAAAGCATTAGAACACCATTTTACATTAACATTTACAAAATACAGCAAACATTTTTTTTCTCTATGTATTTACATAAGCAAACATACAGGTATTCAAAATAGAATGCATCTCACCATTTGGCAATAATTACATAAGTACAGTGCATGATAGGCTGAATGGGATTGATATAGAGGATTTTTATTTTTTTTTACCCTGAAGTTTATAAATATGCACACCAGCTTAGGAGATACATGGTGAGCTTTATGTCTTTGGACATTTTCAGATGCAGTCTTAACAGTAATAAAATGTAGATCTACTTGAAAAGTTGTTGATTAAAACATTTCTCAGACGAAGCGGTTCGTTCGGAGGCAGATAGGACAGACTGACTCATCATGCTTTTCCTGTAGGGCAGGAGAAGGCCCTAACCTCTGAGCTAGTCCGTGTGAATGTTTTCCTTTATTTGCCTGGAAGTTTTCAAAAGTTTTCATTCCAGTCTGATGCATAATGAAAACACTCACTTTTATTTTTTTGCAAGATGGAGTTGTTGCCTGAAGCTGGTCGTGTTAAACTGTAGTGTTCATCCCTACCGTAGGTCCAGTGCTATAAATCCTGGTTGAAACCAGCTGAACTTTGTCATCTGTCAGCAGTGTAACAACTCTGTTAATTGCTATCTACTGATTAGACCTCCCGCAGACCTGGCACGGTGAGTATTATGTATTCAGACACTGACTCTGTCATCCTCACTAAGGCAAACCATACAAAAATCTATTAAAATTTTGGTGCAAGGTGGCAGAATCAGGCCTCGCAAAACTGTCAAAGGTGTTCATAAGGAGCTGGAGATATAAGTTTTCATCTGCTACGCATGCTTTGCTTAGGTTTCTTGGGCAAGAGCTGCTGCTTACTCAGTAACACCACCTGAGTGACCACAGTACTAAAATCTCAGGCATCATCCCTGCTTCTAACCAAAGAAAATAAAAATAAATGTTAGGTTACTTCCAGCTGTCTACTGAAGAAATGCTGCCCAATCTCTTAGCCCCAAAATATAGGTTTTATTTTAATAAGCAGGAAGGATTTTAATGTTCAGAGTCATCTTCTAATGAAACATCAAGCGAGTAATTGACACCCTTTCTGTTTGTAATGAAACATTCCCCGTCAGTATTTGCAACCTGAGCAATTTGACATTGTGGGAGAGGAACAGAAGGTGAAACGAGAGAGAAACGGGAGGCTGATTTGTTCTGCCACGTGGGTGAAATGCAGAGAGTAAGCAGAGAGCACAGACATGTTAAATGTTCGGTAACAGCTCAGTAAGTGCAGCCGAGTGAAGGAAATGGTGCTGCACACCAACCAGACCCTCAGGAATTTCTGGAAAAACTGAGCTTTGGAAAAGTGCAGGGTGCCCATATACATCTGAAGGTGTGCAGGCCAGCTCTGCTGCCTGGCACAGACGGACAGTGGGACTGGGACTGTTTCTTCTTTCTGCTTGTTTCTTTTGCAAGGACAGGGATGCGTCAAGGTGGGAATGAATGGCATGAAAGGTGGCAACTCCCTCCACTTTTGGAAGCACCTGTGTTTCCTTTCCCCTGACTGCCCCCAAATACAGCAGATTTAGCAGTCTCAGTGGCAACTGGTAAAAGAACAATAAAAGGGGTTGCTTGGAAAACAGCCAAATAAACAGCCAAGTTCTAAGTCTTTTTCTACCACAGAATTAAGTATTTTAACCTAAAGGTCTTCCTCTTCTAGTCAAATACCCCAGCTGGTTGGCTAGAATCAGATTTATTTTTCTCTCTCCCCTTCTAGTAGATATTTAATTGTCCTGTGAAAACTGAGCAGCTTCAAGAGAAGGAGTTACAAAATGATGAAGGCATTGGACTTTGGCTTCTGAACAGGTTTTTTTCTAAAGGGACAGGATCTGAAACTCGGATACATCCTACTTCTCTTCATTATGGCTGAAAAAATCATGTAAGGAATTGAATGCTTGGATTTAAGTTTTGCAGATGGATGCAACATTTGTATCTCTGCTCTCCAGCATGGTCCCACTGGCTTCAGTTGAATTGTCTATGATGCCCAAAAGCAAAAGTTTCATGACTAGGCATTTGTTCAGACGATGTGTTTGATATTCTCTGTGTAATGTTTTTTCTGCCCTTGGAGCTATGCAGGTGAAATATGGTGCTGTTTATAAGTCCTGTTATTTTCAAGTGGGCCCAATTTGCCCAAACATATTTCATTAAGGCTGAGTCCTAATAGTGCAAGCTACCTACCGTTCCTGAGCAATCTACCATAACAGCAAAACAGCAAAAACAGGGAAAACAATTTTGAACAAGTAACAGTTCTTAAATAATCCTGACTCTACAAGCACTAAAACAAAACCTGAAGGACACCTTCATAACGGCCTTATTAACCAAAGAGAAATGGTGAGAGAGACTCTGCTGAAACCTTTTACTTAAGGATTTGTTCATGTAAAACTTCCACCGATAAGTGGAAGTCAGGCTCTTCTGGAATCAAACAGAGGCATAGAATCATTCTTGAAATTATTTAGCAATGTTATGCCTGATTTTCCACTCTTTTCTCCCTTCACTTCGCTGTCAACACCAGTGGGAAGGAGCAGAGAATCACGTCTAATAATTACTTTTGAAAAAATTACTTTCAAGTTTTAAATAGAACATATGAAACTTTTAGAATGGAAATAAAGTTCCAGACAAGAAATAAAGATTAAGAATGGTGGTAGAAACAAAGGATCGTTCAAGTATAATTTACTTCTGAAGATTGCTAATTTGAACTATAGAGCAAATGGCAGGAAAGTCCAGTAACATATCTGAATGGTCACTCAGAAGAAAAAATAGCCATAAAAACACCATTACCAAAATTTCCATATAATTCATCTATACAGGTTTTAATAGATTTTTCTTTAATGCTTTAAAATTTATCTTAAATATATATTAGTAAATTAACCATCATTTTATTTAAAATTCCGTAAAGTGCTCATTCAGTTAATGATAACAAAATTCCATTGCAGCAAGGCGAACTAGCTGGAACCTACTCTGCGAGGAAATCAAAGGACAGCTTAGCTTTCACTTGCAAAGAGAAAAGAAATGCGTACATTTCTTCACAGCCCATGTTAGAATACCAGAAATTGCATTTTTTTTTTCTTTAAGAAATATATCCTTTAGAATATTAAAAAAATAAGTTTAATAAAGCCTGTGCTTAAAACAGCCAAAGTACTGTATGAAAAAAAATTGCACATTGGATACCGTTTCAACCCTGCTTTTCGTCAACAGGATAATACGAGGTGTATGTGATGCTATTGGAGAGTCTCTCGAGCAGGGCCTGATTTTCCTACGCTATCAGAGCTCCTCACGGCGCGGTGAAATTTTCAGCGTACTCTTGGTGGTTGCCATGGCATCTGCCGATGGGCTGGTAGAGTCACACGCCGCTAACCTTTTCGTTCCCTGGACTGATGCTTCCCTTTGAGGTACCATCCACGTGACGTATTCCTATCGTGACCATTGAATAATCCTTAGTCACCATTTTGGCCTCTTTTTTCAGACTCTTCATCTGTGCCAGCTGGAGCTGGCTGGAGTTGTACGCGAGCGCTGGGATAGTGTTCACTAAAATCAGCTGGAAAGGTTTCTTCTCCTCCTTGTAGCGACACTGAATGTAACGAGAGAAAGCTGAGCGGTAGGTCTTATTGAACAACGTATACACGAGTGGGTTGACAGCCGAAGAAAGGTAGCCAATCCAGACAAATACGTTCAGCAGTCCACCGACGACTTCTTCGTTGCATGACTCCTTGCAAATTACGGCCATCACATTGGTGATGAAAAAGGGGCACCACATCACAACGAACAGAAAGAAGACAATGCCAAGGACCTTGGAAGCCTTCTGCTCGTTGCTGATGGATTGCATGGTTCGCCTCCCAGAAGTCCCCACGTCCCTGTTCAAAGAGCGCTGAAAGAGTTTCTCTGAAGAAAGGGAACTCTGAGGGAGGAAACTAAATGAAGCAAACTTGGTCTTTGGGCCAATGTCATTCACACACAACATGGCTTCTTTCTGCAGCGACTTGATAGTTAAAAAGTAAGTGACCACCATGATAGTTAGAGGGATGAAGAATGCCACAAAAGAGCCTACTAGGACAAATTTTTCATCCGCTAGAATGCAGCTGCCCTTCTTAAACACTTTGGAGTCATCTTGTAGTCCAAAGACAGGTACAGGCATGGAGATACCTGAAGGTGGATTAGAGAAAGAGGAGGTTAAACATGATAAGAAAAAATACTGCTTCCAGTCTCTAAGAAAAAATAAATAAAACACTCTGAACTGTACAGAGATCATTTCTCAAAGAATTACCAGTTACAGGACATAAATGAATGTTAACAGATAGAACCATGATTGACAGGCATCCCAAAACAAATTGAATTTACACAGGGGAAGGAAAAATACACTGTCTTATGTTTCAGCAGCAGCAGGATACTAATCCCATTCTTACGCAGTTTTTACTGGGGCCACACTGAGAAACCATGCGGTGTGAAATGTTGGTCTTGCACATGTTGAGTTTGATGAAGTGAGCTGTGGTTTGTGCAACACAGTTGTTCTTTCCCAGCAAAGAAGGGCAAGGTGAAGAGCAGCGCTGGCATTACACAGGATTCTGCTCTAATCTCAATTCCCTCTCTCCAAAAAACCTCAGCCACAGGTAAGATACAGTTGCTTCCATCAAAGGGTCACATAATACCTGGCAGCAACGAAAGGGTATCTTCTTCTGCTCTTGGATCTTGCAATGATCCCTACGCTTTGCCCTTGCTCCTGCCACCCTGGCAAAGGCTTTTATCAACTGTGATCAAGGTGTGTTATCTTGTCTTTCTTTTCTGGGGTGGCTGTCAAGAGTGGTCCTGGGCTGTTTCTTGTAAGAGGATTAAAGGTGTTCTCAGTACTGGTTTCAGACTAGGCTGTGAAATACTGATTTTTGGAAAAAAAAGATAAATTATTTAGCAAGTCTGAGAGTAATCGTCCATTGTGTCTTTTTCTGCTCTTCCTGTAGTCTCCATACAGTCGACACAGTCTAAATGCTAAAAAAACTTCCCATGGCAACAGCTGGAGGAGAGAAGGGGACAAATTAAGCACTGAGAGACACTGATACGAGACAGCCTGCGATGTGGCTCACCCTCCAGGATTGCAAAGGTCCCTTTTTGGTACTGCCAGCCCTACACGCTGCCCTCCCAAAGCACAGCTCAAAGGCAACGGCAGTAGTGCAAATCTTATCATCCCCTGGAGAATGTGCTATGTCCTTGCTCTGTCATGAACAGCAAAGCCAGGTGATAACGTCCATTCTCCCTGGACTGCTCCTCCTGATTCAAGCCCACTCAGACATTTCCCTGGGGACTTCTGCAAATGCTGCTAGTGCCTGTGCAAAGTCAAACAGCTGCTGGGTTTTGCTCGTTTGCTTTGTCATTGTTTGTTGGTTTGTTTGTTGGTTTGCTTGTTTGGTTTAAATTTCTCTCCTTGCCTCCCGCCCAGATGGATGCTGTCTGCAAGAGAGGCAGTATTCAGACAGCAAAAGGGACAATGTTCTGTGAAGACAGCAAAAGTGGAGTTGTGAAGCAGTAACACAGCCTTGCTTAGACAAAAGCTGCTGTGAGTCTGACTCCTATGCAAAGTTAACATCACCTGGGAGCCTCACTCCCCTTTGTATCTTCAAAGAGAATGGATGCTGTGTTTGGCTTCTGGGGAAGAAAATGAATCAGAGCAGAATTTCCTATGACAAGACTGACACGACAGAAGGATGCTGTGCCCTACCTTACCCCTGTGTGTCCAAGGTTGTCCTTCCTGGTTTACAGATGAGTCCTGACACGGAGCCTCCTGCCACCAGCACTTTAATGGCACTCGGCCTCTACCTCCCTTTCATTCCCTTCCCTTCTTCTCACTGTGGTGCTTAGATGGGGAACCCTTTGAAAATACAAGCTTTCACTTCACTTCATGCTTGTCCAGTGCCTAACAGAGCACCAGTCCAAGAAGAAGGCCCTGAAGTCCAGGCACAGTGCAAAATAATAATTATAGTAATAATATTAAGCTATTATTCTCTTCAAATTTTCTCTTCATTCTTTTGGTGCTCCTGGAGCTTCTACAAGGCTCTTTCTTTTTCTAACAACACTGTGGCTTATTTTATCTGCACAGCTTTGAACTGAGTCATGGCAGTGCCTTGGGCCAATTTACAACAGTACCCTCCTTATCTGCCCAGGGCAGAGGGTGATGGAGAGCCTGTGGTATTGCCCTTTCTATTTCTGTTCCAAGACTGCATGAGCCTACAAGCTGGAGCTTTGGCCATGAGAAGCCGGCATGTGAGATGCAAACTCATACAGTGTGGGACAGCTCCTGGCTTGAGCTGTCAGAAACCTCCAGCAGCTCCAGGAAGGGTCCTGCCTGGAAAAGCCCAGGTCAGTCTGGTTGAAGGCACTGAGGAAGAGGTCACCTCCAGGAGCCTCGTTGCCTGAATAATTCAAGGTGATGAACACTTCCGAGGGTCTGAGGAAAGTTTTGACTCTTTTTTTTTTTTTTTTTTTTTTTTTTTTGATGAGTTGAAGGGATACCGAAGGCACTAAGTGCCTGCCAGCACGCATTTCAGCCTCATGGAAATGCAGCGCGAGTCAGAGCAACACCACAGGTTTTCCGTCCGTTTCTGCCCAGTATAGATAACGGCAGGGCTGTTTTTTCATTTCATTCAAGGACCTAATGTGAGCTGCAGAGATAAAGTAAACAATGGTATTGACAGAGTAAAAAGATGCCTTTTGTTACTACCAACCGTACGGTTCAGCCACATCAAGAGTCATGGGAGGAGAGTCAGCATCACCAGAAAGAGGAAAATTTTAGTGTAATTGCAAGCTTTTTCAAGGGAAAGGCCAAAGTCAGTTACAACTCCTCACCCGAAACACAAGGGCAGCAATTTTCCATCTGCTTTGTTTTGTTGTGAACATGTTCTGAAGAACTGGCACCTCACATCCACATTTCTGGCTTTGAAATGTGACTGAATGGAAATGAGCTTCAGCTTGTAAGCTGGAGTTTTCACATCTCCTTGTGATTCCTTCAAGTGCAAAAGTGCTGCTCACAGCAGAGCTGCACCAGTCACTCCTAGTCCTGTATGTTTTGTTTTGTTTTGTTTTGTTTTTCTGAATGACCATTCAAGGCTTCCTTCTCCTACAGCCACAGGTAGCTGCTGCCTATAAAATCTGAAAGTACCAGAGGTAGCACTCAGTTTCGTAGCAGAGAACATTGACAGCTGTAACCTCCTTTTTGTGTACATCCCAGTTCAGCTGATGTAAGGGATCCCGCAGTTCATACTGTGGCATGGAATAAGTTAACTTCCAGCCCAAATCTATCTTTTCGTATCTCTACAGAGACTAAACTTATTGTTCCTCATCCCAAAGGAGCAGAATTTGTCTCTCTTCAATGGTTAGCTTCTGGCCTCTGTAGCATGAAAATGGCAAATGTGTCCCAATGAGGACACAGGGACAAAATTCGAAAGCAGTCAGGCTTAAAATGTAAATATAGAAATTTCCGTGTGCAAACCAGGCTTCTACTCTGATGGGATTTTTAGGAGGCATTGTGCAAGGCCATGAATGTCAGCCACATAACAATGACGTTTGGACAAGATCAAACTCATACCGTAGGCAGAATTATTAAAAGGTCCTGGTCTAAGCTGTATTCATGTGTTCACTGATATGTGAAAAACTCATGCTGATATACCAGTTAACCTCTTGATAAAACAGCAGAGCTGACAAAGGTTATGTTAAAATTACTGTACCCAGGTACCCCGTCCTGGCATAGGACCATAGAATCATTAAGGTTGGAAAAGCCCTCCAAGGTCATCTGGTCCAACCATCCCCTGCCACCAGTGTCACCACCAAACCATGTCCCCAAGCACCATGTCCAGCCTTTCCTCGAACACCCCCAGTGACTGTGACTCTACCACCTCCCTGGGCAACCCGTTCCAGTGCCTGACTGCTCTTTCTGAGCAGAAATGTCTCCTCATTGCGAACCTGAACCTTCCCTGGCACAACTTGAGGCCATTCCCTCTGGTCCTATCACTGGTTACCTGTGAGCAGAGGCCGACCCCCAGCTCCCCACCCCTTCCTTTCAGGCAGCTGCAGAGAGCAATGAGGTCTCCCCTGAGCCTCCTCTTCCCCAGCCCAAACACCCCCAGCTCCCTCAGCCGCTCCTCACAGGCCTTGTGCTCCAGGCCCTTCACCAGCTTCATAGCCCTGCTCTGGACATGCTCCAGGCCCTCGATGTCCTTCTTCTAGCAAGGGGCCCAAAGCTGAACACACAGTCTTCCAGAGAAAGCGCCTGAGTCAACAGACCAGCACTTCCTAAAGGGCCCCATGTTCAGGCTTCAAAGAGACAAGAGAAGGGGAGACAAAGCTAGGCTCCATAATTCCTGTCAGCCGTGGCAGCAAGCATCATCTTGCTGATCCAGATGCAGGACCAAGGTGCTGGGTCTACAGGGAAGGCCCCAGAGCCCCACACACACCCAAGCACCCAGCCAAGGATCTGTATGGCTTCACTGGAAATCCCCATACTCCTTAAGAGTGTCAGCCACAGCAGCCTATGTCACTCAACAAACAGCTGGCATGGCCCAACAGTTAGCTTTTATTAGGCTTTATAGCAACTGACTGAATTAATTCTTTAAAGAGGATTGTTTTATTTCTCCTTGATTCAGATATGTACTTTGCTGCTGTTTATACAGTCCGTGCTTTCTAGCTCCCTGCTTTTGGTGACTGTGGCTGTGTAAGAAGACCCAGACTATGCAAGTGTATCCAAACTTCTAGAGAGGACCAACCAGTAGGTATTCCCATTTATATCAGAACATTTTCCCTTGTGGACAAACCCTAAATATTATGTTCTTCCAGTATAAGGTGATTTATTCACATAGCTTGATTTATACACAGGTGGCTGTTTCAAACTCTATAGACTTTAATAAACCACAAAACAGAACCCAAACAATAAAGATGAGTAATAAATCCTGCGTTAAACTGCAACAATTTGGGCACAACTTCAGAGTGACAAAAGGCTCTTAAAAACACCAAAGGTTAAGAAGTAAAGCAATGGCATCCTTCATGCTGTTCTCTCAAAAATCCTGGTAAAACTGACAGAGGTTGATTTAGTGGTACATGCTGCTGGCTTGAAAATCTTCAGAGATACACAGCAGCCATAAAACCAATTTAACTGGACAGGTAAACTGGGTTTGCAGCTGCCTCAAGCTGCTGAGATTATCAATGATTCAAAGCCAGAATTAACTATATGCCCTGAAGACTGACAAACTGGGGATATTTCGGATGTAGAGAAGGAAGGGGAATGAACCTATAAAGTCAAGGTTCCTTCCGTCAACTCTCCTTCAACTGTCACATGTTTTCAGCCCATATACACCAATTCCAATTGATTTCAATATAAATGAGCATTACCATGCACCTAAATAAATGTGCATGGGTTAGGAAATCCCTTTTAGAAATACCATTACAGTTTCTTGACAAAATTCAGCACCTTTGTTCACCTTTGCATGAAAAAGAAACAAAATCTTCCTGCCTCAAATTTTAGCAGTAGCATCGATTCTGACATAGTCGGGTTATGGGCCAAATCCTGGGCCACTGCACAGAGATGTGCTAATAATTTTAATACTGCCCAGATTTTGCCCGATAGCAAAGTTGTGTAGTTTGCTGATGGGTAGCAATGCAGAAGCAGAAATTTCCACCAGGGGAAAGCATATGTTGAAAAGCACTGGGTGGTTTGGGAATCACCATTGGAGGCTCCATCTAGTCAGCGTGAATGTTAGGAAAAAACTCTGAGCTTTGCTGTCAGCAGCTCCGAAAATCTTTCAGAAAGCATATTATTTAGCCTAGTAGGAGATATATTCAATTCTTTTTACATGAGAAAATTATTGTAAATGATCATTTACAATAATATAATGATGGAGCTGGTCTATTTCACTTTTGAAAAATAGAATCAGAAAAGTCTCAGTGTCCCCCTGATATATTTGTCGTTGATATGAAGCCTGTTTCTTACAAGTGCAGAGATTTGCCTGTCCAAGTTAATTTGCAAGACTGTGGTAATAATTGAAAAAGAAACAAATCAGAATCAGTAGGGCATTACAGAGAGGACAGAGCAAGAAATGAAGGACGTCTGCACCTTGTTTGACCCAACTGATTAGAAATCCAGGGCTCCTGGGTTGGCTTATTTATGAGAAGAAACTGCTGATGGAGTTGCTTATTGCTTTGGTATAATCCTGTTCACTTACAAAATGTGCATGCAGTCCTTTTTCCTGGGTGCAGCAGTTTCCTTGCTCTCATACCCAAGTGCCACTCTGTCTATATACACTCCAAATCCCCTTTCTTAGCTATGAAGCAGGACTTATTTATCGCAATTCTGTGTCCTTCAGGTCCAGTCTTTCCTACTCCCTTGCTGAATTTTCTAATCCTTCTCAGTATCTGATGAAAAGATGCTAATTTTTACACTGCAATTTCCAGTAGAGTCTCTCCACCAGTACACTTGTTGCTTTTCATCTAGTGATGTTATCTTTGGTTTGGGAAGAGGCTTCTGCCAAGGTGCGTATTGACTCCTGACAGCTATCCCAGATCAAGGGAAGTTGTTATCCTCCTGTGTAATACGATTACCCAGTCACCAAGGGCACTAACAGAGGCATCTAGAAGTCTACACTTGTCAAACAGCTAGAAAGAAAGAAAGATTTATAAATGCCCTAAAGAAATTTAATTTGATAAAAGATTTAGAGATTGTGGATTTTGGATCATACCATGTATGCAGCGAGGAGCAATGGTGAATGGACCCCAGTGGTTTCAGCTGAATAAGCTGAAATAGTGAGCCTTGCTATTGCAACCAAACCCAGCTTAGTGCCAGCACAAGGGCTGTCTTCACCTTCTGCTCACTCAGATGGACAGAAAGGGCGGTGTCAAAGGAGAAAGAAATTGCTGGAGAAACCTGTGCTGTTCTTAACTAAATAAGAAACTGCCTAGTAGATAAATTTTTGTACAATATGGCTAAGGAACAAAACAATGTGGAGCACATGCAGGATTCTTCCTTGCATCTCCCAGAGACTTGATGGATCTTCCTGTTACCATGCTGGGCTAGACCTCAGAGTCTGGTTCTGAATATCTGAGTTATGTTAAGCTTGGAGAAAGTTGTCAAAGACCCCAGCCCTAGACTCATTGAATGTGTCAACTTTTAGATAAAAAGTAAGTCTCATTGCCTTCTGTAGATTACTGTGCACAGTAATCACAGATTACTTGTGCCGCCCTCCCAGGAGGAGACCCCACAGCCTCTCTAGAGTTTGTCAATACAATTTATATTTTTCTATGGGTCTTGTGAGGTCTCCTGAGAGCCCTCCACCTGCCCCTTGCCCTGGTCCCCATCCCGGCTCTCCTTGCTGGGACAGTGGCATTGCATTTCAAGCGAGGTTGGCAGGACACGTGGCCCTATGTGCCAGCCTTTCTGCATGGACTCCAGCTTGCTCTGTACATCTGCCTGTGCTTTAATCCCTGCCTCCAACCAGGGGAGGCCTGCCAGGAAGGAGAGAGGACTCTGTGTCACATTACACGGTGCCTAGAGGAAATTGTAAAGGTTTCTAATGCAACAACAGCAAACTTTTAAGACCTCCCACCCTGCAATTTATCTGCAATATTATTTACTCTTAACAAATTATTGGTGAGATTGCAACTATCCCTGAATCTGGAAGGAGTGGAGAGTAAGGAGGCGCCTGGCTAAGCATGGACAGAGGACAGGGGAAGGCTCGCCTGGGGGTGGCTAGCCAAGCAGCCTCTGAGCCCAAGGTAGCCAGATGGCATCTGCAGTCCTGCTGTCAGCTGGGATCCGGGAGGGAGCTGGCCGTAATATTCTCCTCTGGGGGACTCAGGCTGTGTAACCACTTCATCTGTGATGATTAGAAATGATTGGAAGTGACTGACCTTATGATAAAGAGATGAATGTTTCGTCTGAAGAATTTCAAGATGTGCCATCGGTCTCCAGCCTAGCTCTCTGCAGAGGGGCAAAGTGCTCCACACTCTTACTTAAAGCTCCTTGATGGACAAACCTGTTACTGCTGCTGCTCAGGAAAATGCATGAGAGCAGGTCAAACATCCTTTTCCCTTTCTGTGTACACAGCTGGTGTTTAAATCACATTGGTGTTTCTAAGTTCCCTGTAGCAATGGCTTAATTTCTACTTGAAAGAAGTAAGAAATTTATAGTTTTTGCTTGCTTGGTGAATGTTGCTGTCTGAAAAGCAAAAGAACCTGTAAGTGGGATCAATTCCCACCACCTGTGATGCTCCTCTTTCTTAGCAAATCACCTTTTTGTTTTCCATGATAGGTGGCTTCCTGCAACATTCATTGTTCAGGCCCCCAGGAGAATAGGTCTGGGCATAATCGTGCTTCAACATTGAAAAAAACAAACCACCACAATACATTTTTATCAGGACCTCCTCAGATCACAAGTTATCAGTCTGCCTTTTTAGCTGTGGAGCTCCTGAGGGCTCCTCAGGGCTAACTTATTATACTACATGCTAAGTACACGGTAACGCTTCATAAAAAAGCAATAGTAGCAATAAGCGAGAAATTATGGACAGATCTTAGATATTCCACCATCATAAGCAACTAATGCGATGGCTCCTGGAGCAGTGTAAGTGACAAGATCCTCTACTATCCCAGTTTTTACACTTCTGGGCTTTTAATTATTACTTTAGATGATTTGTTAGATGCTGGTAATTTACTTAACTCTGGCATAATCCTCCACTGGACTGAACAGAGATTTCTGCTGGTATCTCTCTGAGATTTCTCCAGCACTGCTGTTTGATCTTGTGTAGTTTAACACAGCTTTGAAGGTAACTGTCAGATAAGTTTTTTTTGGCATTTTATTTTCTTTAGCTACACTTTTGCCCTGAGACAGACAACCATGCCTGTACCTCTTCTGGACTTTCTGGTCCAGCAAGTTGAGGCTCAGGCTGAGACACATTATTTTTGCTGCCTGCTGCCTCCTTAGAGCCATGGTCTGCACCTCATGACCCCAGTTCTAGCTGCATTTTTATGTCTAGATCTCACTTGTACCCAGATCTTTATTTTTTGTAGTTGCTTGCAGAGACTGCTCATCAAGCAAATAGTCAGCTTCTTGTTAGATATACAAGCAAGTTGCACCAGTGGATGGTTATTGGGGTAGATGTCCCACCATGATGTATAATTTGCAAAAACAAAGACAAACTACTACTACTACTACTACTACTACTACTACTAATAATAATAATAATAATAATAAACAGGATGTAAAGCAATTTACCAACAGGTACTGGTCTGAACGTAATGATTCAGGATACTCTGCTCTATGCTTTGCTGCCCACCTGGTGGATAATGCCCTTCACACAGATTGAATTGGTCTTTTGTCAGATCAGGCAGTGCCCTTTTCACATCTGGAAGATGTCAGAGTTAAAGAGCAGAAGGAAAAGCAATAGATGGTATCTGCCCATATTTTCCATCTACAGGCTGCAGAGTAGGTGATATGCAAAGATTGCTAGGCTTATCTTTTTGCTAAACATCACAAATCATTGTCACCTTGACAATGTAAAAAAAACAACAAGAATACATGAACTACCTTTGCAACTAAAAATAGTTACTCTGCTTGCTGAAGTAGCCTCCTCATGTCGTGCAGTAGTATGAAAACCAGGGCTTGTTTTACCGTGGGAGCGCTCAACCCCATACTTTGGGGCACACAGCTGTAAGGATGAAGTTATGCTGCTCACTCTGTGAACCCGAGACCTAAAAACACACAATATTTTTCTCAGGAGTCTCATGGTTCAGCTCAACCTGAGGCTGTGGGATCTCCTCCTGGGATAGTGACACAAGGCACCTGGATGGGGTCCTGGGCACCCTGCTCTGGGGGGCCCTGATGGAGAAGGACTCAGGGCTGGGGACCTCCACAGATAACTTCCAGCCTCAGCCATGCTGTGGTTCTGTGATTTTGTCATCCTAGCAATAGCTGCCCACTTGATATTTCAAAGCTTGGGTCAAATAAAAAATTGTAATGAGAGTTATGTTCTGCCCAAAGGAAAGAAGTCTTCCCAGTGGGTGAGATTTCCTTGCAAGAGAAATACAGGACTGAACACTGTGACGTGCACGGCTCCAACTGTGATCAGCCAGAAAAGAGAAACCTTATTGCAGTGTTTCCACCTGCTTTCAGAAAGTCGTAGGAGCTCGGCAGGCTGTTTTCCACTGGTGACTCTGGAGGACAGAGGAAAAATCAGCTGACAGGTACTACTAAATTTTGTTGCAGGTAATTAGCAATATGTTGTCTCAGCTCTGACAAACCCCGTGACTTTTATTAGCTGGGCTTCTGCTTAGGAATGGTGCCAACGACATGGGCAGGGAAACGCATGAGGGAAGTTAATTGCAGCCCAAGTGTGCCGTAGTTTGCAATGTTCATGCTAATTGGGGCAAATGTATGGGTTTCATTTTAAAGCAGAATCCTGTGATACATTTATCTTTCCTAACATTATAAAACGCAAAATCTGGCTTTAACAAATTCTAATTCTTTAAAACACATAAACGAAGCTGTGAGATTGCTCTGTGCAATTTTAAAAGGACTTCAAGTTTCTTTTTCACGACATTTTTTCTTTATGCAACACAGTGCTACTTCAACAACACTATTTTTAATTTATAAGGTGATTAAATGCAATTACAGTGTACAAATGACAGAGCTTATAAATCCCAACATGACTCCTTGTGCACTTCTTTCCCGCTCATTTATACTGCATGTGGTTTCTGCTGTGCAGAAGTCCCTGTTCCTCTGATTAGAGACGCTCAACTAATTTCTTGGTCAATATAGGAACCCCTTTTGGCATTATGCTGTTGTAGAGATCCACTAGATCTACCAGATCTACCAGAGAGGTCTGTGTACAAATCCCTTCTACACTTTGCAACACCTTACATAGCACTTTTTGGAGAAATGTTAGCCTGGTGGTGGGACCAAGACTTCCCTCTCCAGTGGGGAAACACATCCTGGATTCTTGTGTGTGTTGCACATTGTGCTGGGCACACAACTGGCCAAAAATACAGCCTTTCAAAGACAGAGGAATAACTTATAATAGGCACTGTACCGTTACTGCCCTTTTTTTCTTAAAACACCCCAATTACTCTGAAATGTCCTACAAAAGAGAGACTGGCTGATTATAGGGCTTATTCATTCAAAGGGACTTGATAATAGGACCAGCCTAGTCCAATTGAACTTAATGTTTCTTTTGCCAGTAGCTTCAGTGAGAAGAGCACAGTCCTTATGGTCTTCTAAGCAAAGACAAGTTAAAGAAATAAAGAAAAGGACAATGAACAAATTCTGTCATCAGTACCTTGATCAACCTTCCACATAGCTATGCTATTAAAAATACAGCTTGATTGTGTAAAAACTTGCCCTTAAAATAAAACCAAGCAGAAAGAAAAGACACACATTAATGGTGTGACCACTCCTCATTCCTTTTTTTTTTTTTTGCCTGTGAAGCAGAATGTTTCTTGCAAAGGAGAAGTATATAAAATGAGTGCATATGACAATTTCATGGGAAAAGAAAGCCTTCGTCTTGTCCTGACAATCAGGTAACTACACAAAGAAAATGGTAAATATGTATGTGATAATGATTACATATATTACATCTCTATTTGACAATACATATGTACTGGTAGAATATATTCTCTCCCATTTAGACATCTGCCAGGTCACACATGTCTCTGCTTCAGAAATTTCGCCCTATGGATCTTTATGATGTTTCTTTATCTCTGTGTTTCCAGATTTGGAGAATATAGACATCAGCTCAATGAGATTCAATGGCATGAAGTTCAACAAGGAAAATGCTGGGTGTTGCAGCTGAGATGGGGTAGTGCTGGACACAGGCACAGCAGCTGGGGAGCGTTGCTCAGCCTGCAATGTCCTGAGGAGGGGAAGTGCAGGGGGAGGCACTGGGCTCTGCCCCAGGAACCCATGGTAGGACACATGGGAACTGCACAGAGCTGTGCCAGGGGAGGCTCGGACTGGACATTAGGAAACATTTCTTTATCGTGAGGGCAGTCAGACACTGGGATAGGCTTCCTGGAGAGGTGGCTGGTGCCCCATGCCCATCAGTGTTCAAAAAGCATTTGGTCAATGCATCAATAACATGCTTTAACTTTTGCTTAGCCCTGAAGTGCTCAGGCAGCTAAGTTAGATGATCTTTGAAGCTCCTTTCCAATTGAACTATTCTATTCTATTCTATTCTATTCTATTCTATTCTATTCTATTCTATTCTATTCTATTCTATTCTATTCTATTCTATTCTATTCTATTCTATTCCCATTGATTTAATCTTTTCTTTTTTAATTTTATTTTCAAAAAGGTGAAATATAGGGTTAGTAACACCTCCTTGTCAGCTACTGAAAAAAAGATACAGAAGCTCAAAGTGCAAGGTTTTTTAACCTACACACTCATAAGAGGGAGATAATTGGTAAACTGTTGCTCTGATGGGTGAGATACGTTCACTCTTCTGGGAGGACCAAATCAAGCAAAGGATTCTGTTACACATGTACAGTAAAGACAGCAATAATTTATATCAATAAGGAAAGTAAATATGATATTTACGTGTCTTTTTCAGAAACATCGTGAGTAATGTCTAATAACCAGAATGCATGTGCTAGTCAACTTGGAAGTGTGCATCACAGCACTTCGTATTAGCGTCTCTCAGACAACTTGCACATGAAATGTTCATTTATTTATTAGTTGTCATGGCTGGTCATTAGGATGGCAATGAACTCCCTACTGGCACAACTGTTGCTGACCGCTGAACTTCATATATCATGTGTCTATAAAGCAATACAATGAAGGTCCTATATTTGTGAGATGATGATGAAGCTCTAATGCTGTGTTTACAAGATTTTGTGTAATCACCCTTCACTATCATTAATTTAATTTTCTCTGCGTGTTGTGTCACCGTTTTTGATGTTTATGGTAAAGACTGTAGTGTAGCAGATATTTTAAGGTTAGCTTCAGGGCTTACAAATTTAGGTGCTCACCTTTGAATCTTTATTAGTGGAGTTTAATGTTGTGGTAATTATTTGTAATTTAGGCAAGTATATTCCATGTAATATCAAGTAGCCTTTTCCTATGCTAAACCATCCCTAAATGAGACATGAATGAACTGGCAAATTAAAAGAAAGACATTAGGAAGAAATGGAGGATGTGGTGGAGCCAGAAGAGGGATACCCAGCCTGCAGCCCCTTGGCTATCTGTGCCTTCTGAAAACAGTAAAGGGACTTTCAAGTGAAGGCTGTCCTTGTCCTAAGTGCTCAGTGAGCTGAAGGAGGCCAAAGCTGTCGACAAACCACAATCCTGAGATGCTGGTAGCTATGCTCTGCAAATCCCAGCTGCTTCCCTGGCCCTTCGTACTCTCCAGGACAGCTAGAAGTCATGCAGAGAAACTGCAGGCTGCCTGAGAAAGAAGTGTAAAGCCTCCGTGCCAGCTTAAAGCCAAAATATCAGAGGGCTGAGTTGCCCTGGACCTCTTTTATACACCTGGAGGTAACTTTTTGCACCCTGTGGTTTGCAGAATGTTGCTTCATATGCAGCACGATTTTCATGGTTTTGCAACCTCGAAAGCAATGGCAAAATTATGGAGAATTTTGTTATGGGGAATATTTCACCAGCTTTGTCCAGCTCCAGTTTATACTTTTTTTTTTTTTTTTTTTTTTTTTTTTTTTTTTTTTTTTCTGCCTGAAAAGCACTGAATAAATCCAAGTTGTTAGTGACTGGGGAGAGCAGAGACTGCCTGAAGGCAGCGAGCAGATGTGTAGGCTGAGTGAGAAATGATAAGCAAAGAGAAAACTCAGACTAAGAGGATTTGAGCTTCATCAAACTTCACCATTAGCAGGAGAACAGAGAGCAAGAAGGACTGAGGGATGATATATATATAGGGGCTTAACATTCATGACTTTAACTCTTTTATGTGGCCCTTTCAAGGATTTTTAAAGGAGAGAATGCTGATTTTTGGCCTTTTGCAGAGCAATACGTTTCCTAGGCCCACTTAGAGGTGTGTTACCTGCATTTTTCAGCATAGGCTCTATTCGCACATCTATAGATCCCAGCTAAACACTATTGAACACATTTTGGTCTAATTTTTTCAAGGAAGGTAAAATGCTGGGGCTTTTTACACCTGTTCTCACTAATGACCTCTGTGCTTTAAAACAAATGGAATAATTTTCAGGGTCTAATGGGCTTTTGCCTTCAACAGCTACAAATAATCTAATTATCTAGCCACTCTAGGTACTGGATGATTTAAGAATTAAAGACATGATTAGAATCTGTTACAGTAATTATAATCCATTTTAAGCCAATTGCCTGTGGCATTACATGGTCTAGTGAAAGAAAGGCTGCTGGCTAAATGCTCTTCTTCCACTAAATGCAAAAACAAATGTTAGTAAAATATATTTTTTTTTTACAAAGAAAATTAAGATTGCAGAAGTCAAGCAAATCATATAACCTGTCATTTTTTATGCTATTTTTTTTAGTTACTTCCAGCATTACTGAAGAAGACCACTGATTGACTGGTCCTGAAGACTAACAGCATGGTAGGACTTACTAAGTTGGGAACTGAGAACAAGGCAGAAACATTATGAAACAAGATGAATTATGGTTTGTCCATGTCTTCAATATTATGGTCTGTCCACCTGCGTCTCAGAGAGGATGCAGAAGTAATAGAAGAGATTCAGAGAGGTTCACAGGGCACCAGCTGCAAATTTCAGGAGCAAAGGGCAGCCAAAGGGTGTCTGAAATGAGGCTGGAAGGCAAAACCCTGAGAAGCTCCCACCTCTGTGAATTTGTTGCTGAAATCACAGCCCCACTGTGCACTGGGGAAAGCGTGCTGTGCCTGGCACTGGCTGTGCCTGTGCTAGCTGGACACATCTGAAGGTGCAAAGAGTTAAGTAATTTATAGCACTGCCACTCTAAGTAGCCCTGAGAGCCTGCAGATTGGTAAATGATACATAGAGCAATTCATTCTTCAGAAACCATTTCCTATTAGCAAATGATGTGTGAAGCACCTCATTCTTCAGAAACTATTTCCTATCCATTCTGAGTCGGACTAGGGTGGACCAGGACAGAGTCACGGACCAACTGACATTAGATTGCACAGGAGACCTGGCATCTAGCAAGTTTGCTCATAACACCAGCATTTTTATTTAGCAATGTGCCATGGTGCAATCTCAGTACAGATTTCCAATGGGCAGCTCAGGAGCTCCGTTATAACTTTTTTGCACACCTGCACACCTCAATCTCCTTTTTTTTTTTCTGAGTTCTTTTGCATTTATTTAAGCCACATGCTGTGTTGATGATATGTGAATGAGATAGAGTTTTCTGTCAGTCCAACTATCTTTCTAACATCCCCCATTGCCTTACGCGTGTCCTTATCCCATCACAGTAAAACTGACTCCGTCCTCCTCATTCATGCCACACTTGTGTGCTTTCCAATAAAGCCAGAAGTTGCAATTTTCAGATTTATATAAATAGGGACTGTGTTGCTGTCACTTGCCACAGTGATAACAAATAAAATCTGTGTTTTAGCTGATCACTGTTAGAGGAAAATCCTCTAGAGAGCAGAAAAGGTGTTTTAAAGTGGTAAGTTGTTACCAGCTATTACTGCAAAGAATGTTCCTAACTTTTGAAATTAAATATCAATTTATCAAAGAACTAAACCCACCTACTAGAGTACATGAACCATATTCTAGACAACAGGGCCTAAATTATAGATTATTCTGAATTCGCTCTAATAGTGATCTAGTTCAGACACTCTGATAGCAAATCACTGTCTGAAAAAAAGATGCTGAGGTACGTGGAGCACTAGTTTGCTCATTCTGATCCTTCTGTGAATTTATTAGTGTTTAAAAAGCACAGTAGTTTCACATGCTAAGAACAAGCAGCACACACAAATACAGAGTACAGATACACAATGAATACTTTGCTTTTTTATGTTATAGAGAGAATGCTTATGCTTAGCGGTGTCCAAGATTGGGAGAAAATGAACGTAGAAATTAATGTGTTTTCTAGTGCAATGGTAAAAAAGGGGCTGCAGGGATAGAAGGTATGATTCATCTTAGCTAAATGAAGACATCTACACCTGAGTGAGTAGCTCTAGGCTTGTGCTAGACACCTACATCTGATCGGCTGGACACACCACATTCAGAAACACGTGTGGTGCTTTTGGACCTTGCCAGGTCTGCGGTACTTTGGAGGATGCAGAACTGCCCTCTCGTTGAGAGAGGGCTCTTGCTGTTTCTTGCTGTGCTGCAGAAGATGCAGCTACTTTAAGCCATAAATATCCTGGAGTGTTTTTTTCTGACAGGGCTGAAGGGAGGCCAGGAGACAATTCAGAGCAGCAGGCAGGTGGCAGTGTTAGGCATTATCTCCTTCCCTGGTAATGGATTACAGTTACCACTTGCACTAATTTATATTAGTCAGGGAAGTGGCTAATTACGTTTGATTGCTGGCAACATTCCTCTATTCCAGAGCAAGGGAGTGAATTTTTCCTGCTTCTGAATAAGCGAGCTGCCAGTGCTCAGAGAGCTCTACAGAAATGGATGAGCCGAAAGGGAGTTGTGCTTTCAGCCTGCTTGAGAGCCTCTGTTCAACTTGCAGACAAAATGCCCCGACACCCTTATGGCACCAGACACCAAACCCTTTCCATCTCCCATGCCTTGAAGCAGCTCTGGACCCAGGGCACTGCTACCATGTAAAGGAGCAAGTGACACTGCCATGGCTGGTTTCAAGTCTCTGGGTTATAGCAGTGCAAAGAGAGATTCATCTGGTGAGTCATTCAGGGCACATATTTAAGGCTGCAACTCTGGACTTTCCTGTGGGAAACATCTCTGGTTTATGGGGTATGCAGAGCAGTAATGCCTCCTAATCGGGATGGTGTAAATATCCCACCCTGTGAACCAAGAAAGCCAGAAAAGATCTGCCCGTATGAAAAAACTCTGAGCAAATTACCCTAATGAGAAGCTGGGAACAATTGATTTACGTAAAACAGGGAAATCTTCTTGTAAGTCAAGATTGTATTTTTCTTTTCAGATGTTAAGATAGCGATGGATAATCAATATGGGAAATAAACACATCCTTAAAGCAAACCTGAACTCAATAGACCTATTGCTGATGCGCATTCTTCCTGTGACAGTGCTGCTCGGCTTCTCCTCCGTTTCCCGTTGTCATTGTTGATTGTCTATTGCTTAATTACTACATTACAGCACTTCTTTCACTGTGGCAAGCAAAATATTTCAGGCAGAGAATACAGTTTTAGGCTGCAATATATATGTCAAATCCTCTCAAAAGCTCGAAATCTGCAATTGCATGCTGAGATATTTCCTCACTTACCAACTGATATGGTCCAAACAACGATTATTTTTGCAAAAGCTTTCGTTCTTGAGTTAAACCGGCTGTGGTGGATGGGGTTTCGAATAGCAATGTAGCGGTCCAGCGAGATGGCACAGAGGTGCATGATGGAGGCAGTGGAGAAAAGCACATCCAAGTAGATCCAAATGGCACAGAGCTTCGTAGGTAGAGGCCACGTGTATCCTGCACAAAAGAAAGTTGACATCAGCTCCAAATGTGACATATTCATGGTTATTGTTGTGATGCATTTCTCTTAATGCATATATACTTCTAAGAAGAGCTGGTAGCGAGTGATGCCTTCAGTAGAAGCTGCCTGACAATTTCTGTTTTCAGAAACCATTTTTTTTTCCCCCAAGCTACGTGCTGGGTATGTATTTTTCTTTTTAATTCTATATGAGTAATGCTTGGTGTTGTAATTAACCATTTCTGGCAACAAATATGTGGAAAGAGAAATAATTTGTAACTCTAAGTGTGGAATTTCTGAATTTTCTTGTAAGATTTTTCTTTGGTGTGGTTAATGTATTATTAACACCAGCTGATCTGCAACGCCTAAATTCTGAAACTGAAACTTCAGGTTTAGTAGCAGCTAGAGAAGCATATGTGTTTGGTTGCATATCGGTGATATTTTTATCACCTATCTTTAGATACCTTCCACATATTTAATAAGGAGGGCATTCTCTATATCGTCAATGAACACGATAGGCTCCCCCAGAGAGAGCAATCCCAAGTAAGTGCATTAGTGTTTACCAATATGCAGTCTACATCTTCTCTGTTGCAAATTAAGCCTTTCTTTTTGCTTGTTCTTTCCAATGGCAATGAAGAATAATTGATTACTGTCCTTTCTGAAAGCTATTGGAAGATGGCTATCGTGTCTTGTCTAGCCTTTTCTTTTTCTCCTCCAGACAAAGCAAAGCCAATTCCTTTATCTTTTGCTTGCAGATGATGTTTTCAGAACTTTTGTGCTTCTTGTTTCTCTGCCCTGGAATCTATTTAATTTATCTTGCTTATACTGCAGTGACCAACACTGGACTCTGTGGTGTTGCAAAGACTTTCTGACTGCTAAGTGAAATGCAAGATTGCTTCACAGGTCTTGCAGGGAATGTCCCGACTTATGCAACCTGGAATGATGAGGGTGTTTTGTATTAAAAAAAAGGATGCTATTGATGCACACTGAGCTTATGATTCATTTTGACAGCCAGATCTCGTTCAATATTCCTGAAGTCTGGACTAATTTCCCCAGCAGTAGTTGGTTTGTTATCTTTTTCCTAAGCGGATATCTTTGCATTTATCCTCAGTGAATTTCATTTGTTCATTTTAGACTTTCTCTTCAGGGGTCCAGATCATTGTTGATGATTCTGATCCCGTCCCTCTGAGTGCTTGTAACCTCTCCCAGCTTGGGACTTTTGGAAAACCATGCAAGCTCATACTCTACCCAAATTGTTAAGAGCAGTATTGAGCAGACCCAGGATAAGCAGAGCCCTGCAGGACTCTCATTCAAAGGTCCCTCTAATCCTGCAGGGAACCACTAATAACTCTTCTTGGGGCAAGTTCTGCAATTAACCTTGCCCATATCTTGTGGTGATTTAATTCTGAGCATATTACTCGAGCTGCCCATAACAGTTCTGCATGGGGCAATGCCAAAGCTGGTGTTGTGAGAATATGTTAGTGTTTCAGGGAGTGCCTGGCTCATTTGGAGATACAGTACAGCCTAAATTGCAATAGTAGGAACAAAGGCAAAGGAGCTAGGTCTGCCCCTAATTAAATGTAGTCTCCGTAAGCACTGAGACCTATTTCCAGATGCTCTTGGACTACTGTAATATGACTGACGCTGACAAGCTGCATGGTATTTATGGATATGTTTTATCTCTTTCTTGTTTTTTAAAAGGGGAATCCAGTCTCTGGAGTGTCAAGTGAGGGTTGTCTTTCAGGGTTATGTCTTCCAAGCAGCCTCTCTCTGCCAGGCAAGGCCAGTTTACACAGGGAAAAGGCATAAACTACTTCTGCACTTGACACCATGCATCTGTTCTCTGTGGGAACACATTTGTCATACCCTCCTAGACCTCTTGTCCTGGCTTTACCTGGATGGGGAAGGGAAAAACACCACCCTTCAGATAAACCACCTTGGAGACTACAGGACCACAAAATAAGAAGGTAGATGAGAGGAGCCAACTGCGGATGAAACAGAAGTCAGGAAGGGTGTAGATAACATCCTCCAGGCTGGCCCAAGGACATGGTAAGTGGCGTATGGGATGGGGCACCTCTTTCTTGTGCTGTGCTCTGGTCACTGTCTAATGCAACCCTCCACATATCCAGGGGAAAACAAGAACAAACAACAAAACCAACAGCGACAAAAACATGGCTCCAATTTGAAGTTTGGTTAGGGAGGAAAAGGTCCAAGGATTTGTGTGGTTCATGAGTCCTCTTACAAAAGTCCCCTGTTCAGACTCGGGACTATCAGTATGGGTGGCATAGAGTTGTCTAGGTTGGAAAAGACCTTCAAGATCATCAACCTCACACCACACACCCATCACTACATCATGTCCCTAGGCACCATGTCCACACATTTCTCAAATACCTCCAGGGATGGGGACCCCACCACTTCCCTGGGCAGCCCCTTCCAATGCTTGACGTCCCTCTCCATGAAGAAATTCTTCCCGATGCGCTGTCTGAACCTCCTCATGCACAACTTAAGGCCATTTCCTCGCATCCTATCGCTTGTCACCATGCGATGACACCGGGCTGATGCTGCCGGGGCGCTCCCCCCGCGCCACCTCCGGGGGGTGGCGGAGCTTTGTGCCCGAAAATCCGGCGGTTCCCCCCCGAAATCCCCCCTCAGCCCTTCGGGTTTCGCTCCTCTCCTTCCTCGGCAGCAGAGCCCGGCCAGCAGGAGTCCCTGTTGCTTGTCTCAGGGAACCAGGCAGGGTTTTTGTTCAGCTCAGGCACCGGACGGTTTCTGCCCAGCTTTACACCGTCTCCTCCACCACCGAGGTAATTTCACCGTTAATACGACAAATCACAACGCTGCACCCTCACCTATGCCCAACACCGTTTTGGGGTGCAATCTGTGTAAAAACGCTGAAATCGGTTTTCTGGATGAAACCTCTCGTAAGTTACAGGCTCACACTCAAGAGCTATACTCCCGAAATCGTGCAGCAAGAGAAATCTTTGCAAACAGCCTCACTTTCCTCCTGACATTGTCTGGCTTCTCCTTCAGCTGCAGCCACTCAGTTGTGGCACTGGAAAATGCATTTCTCAAAGTTTAGGGGTGATAACAGCCTGGCAGTATTTGTACCGAATGCACAGGCTGCTGCTTTTTCCTACGTGAGCTGTGCTGCAAATAATTTGGTGAAAAGGAGAAGAAAGGTCTGCTATTAATCACCTACACGGGTATGAACTGTGAGTCATAATCCACTTAATTCTTAAATAACTTCTCTTAAGAAATCATAGCCGATATTTAGCTTTGCTTCTGTAAATGTTACTAAAAAATAGGCAGAATTAACTCCCATCCTTTTTTTTTTTTAACTCCCACAATATTTATTGCAGCCTTTGCCAGCAAGTGGAGGTCTGAGCAGGATGTTGGTGTTAAGAGAATTATTAGAGTTTGAATTACTTCGTTAAAAAAAGAATTAAAGGGGTTGCCAACCTTTAATCTAAAGGTGGTCATTACTGCTTCTGTGCATATCTGCAGAGCAAAGTAACTGGCAGGACCATAAATACTCATCAGAAAAACTGGAAATTATAAGTCATGGGGAAAAATGAAAGAATAAGGAGAACAAAACATCTTCATACACATTTTGAGACAATTCAATCAGCAAATGAGTAGTAAATTAATGATCTGGGCTGAGTTTAAAATGTCTATAACTAGATATATAAAGTGGGGAAAGGCATTTCACCTATTCTTACATCCTTTAACCATTTACACATATTTCACCTTGCATGGAGTAACTGCAATTTCTTTGTGCTAAGAGACTGAAATAAGAACAACAACTACTTGTGCATGCAATGTTTAAAGCTTCTCTATACATGCAGCAGATTACATGGTTAATACTCACCGTACAGTATGGTTAACATTGACACAGGCATGACAAGAAAACCCAGCAGCATATCAGCTATTGCAAGTGACATTAGAAAATAGTTAGTGGCATTCTGCAGCTTTTTCTCCAGTGACACAGCCATGATGACAAGAATATTCCCAGCAATGGTTAAAACAATCACTATCACTGTCAGCAAAGCTGGCCAGTTTTTCTGTGAAAGCTGTAACAGGGAAGGGTAGCATGGTGGACTCATATTACTTTCACACGAAAGATTAGTTAGGTTTTCGGAGTCCGCAGTCAAGTTAAAGAGATGTGATATATTAATCTCTCCGGGTCCGTAAACGTTTCTGTAGAGTCTTCTCTCATGATTTATTTGTATTAAGGAGTTTGCAGTTGGGTTCACAGAGCTCTCCTCATCACAAAGAATATCCATTGCTAAGTCCAAAACCGGTGAGATAAATAGTGAAAAATAGGAAATTATCACCCTTTGTCACCATCAGGCTTTATATTCCTCAGATGTCCATGTCAGAAGTTGATGGAGCACAATCTTTTGTCGACTGCATTTTTGCCAGTAGCATGATGTAGAAAAACATACCAGAATTACTCCGAATGCTGAAATGTTTTGTTTTCTGTTCCATAGGAAGTCCAGCGTTGGCACACATCGAAAATCCAGCTGAACAGCAAAGCCAAACTGGAGGCTAGAGACTGTGGACTTGAGGCTTGAGAGAGCAAAAATGTTGTAGAAATAAAAGAGAAAAAAACTTTTGCAACCACTAGGACTCCCCTCTGGAGCTACATCTTATTGCTATTGGTAACTGTAATCACACAATTTTAAACACAGCAGTATTAAAATAGCTTGCCATACAAAACAGCAGAGCTCTTGCTTCCCTATTAAGAAAGTTGATTAAAGATTCCATCCAGCATCTTTCTCTTGAAATAATTAGATATGCTCTTATTTATAGTACATCTTCCATAATATGGCTGATAGTCTCTGACTTCTGTTGTATTTCAGTATCATGTTCAGGCTGGTATCAGAGATCGCACATTCTGCTCCGCGTTGGTTTTCGTAGCTAATTGTACCTTTTGGCCCAGCCTGGCTTCAAAATGGAAATTAAACTAGATATTATGACTTAAAAAAAAAATAAAAATAAAAAAATAAGGAAGACTTACATTGCACTTCAGAGCCCATGCTCAAACTGCGTTTAGGTTCGCTTTGTACCCTGTTTGACCGTATCCTTCACTGTATTTAGCCAGTTTGGGGTCCTTTTTCTTCAGCGTCCTCCAAAATGGTGGTGTTTGGAATAGGGTCTTGTGTTTTTGTTGTTGTTGTTGTTATTGTTGTTGGTTTTTTTACTTCTAAACTGCACACTTGAGTGAAGCTAGTTCCCGTGCTGCGAGGCTTGCTCTTTTCTTCTGAGAGATAGGCTGCTTGCTGGCTCTTTCCTTGTGCATTTCCCCCGCCCCAGGGCAAGCTATATTTAAAATAATAATAATATCGGAGCCCTTCACAAAGTGACACAAAAGAAAGCACACACACACACACGAGCAAAAGCAGCCTGCACGGAGGAATTACTGATTTCCACAGGAACGGAATTTCTTGCTCACTGCCTTGTTCGGTTTGTCAGACCTCCCACTATCCGGATGTCATAAACTGCAAGGTAGCAACGGCAGGGGAGGGCAGACCAAACAGGGTCTTTTTCTGGTAAGCCAGCAGCGTTTTCTTTGCGTGTTGTGGAGGTCCTAGGCTTGGGTCTTTTTCAGCGCACACTTCCCATTTGCGGAGGGTTGCAAACACAGCTGCATGCAATTACAGTGTTTTACAGGATGCAGGCTTAAAAGAGACGAAATCTAAGGCTCGCAGTGGTAGTTACTAGTGAAAAAATATAAGTGTGAAGCTTTTCCCATGTAGAGAGGAAATCATGCCATCCTTAAAAGGCAGAAATAATGATCAATCCCTGCAGTTTTAACTCTGAGTCTGTGTTGGCACATTAATCAAACTGGCAGCAGATATTTATAAAAAATTTGAAGTCACCCTGATGTCACTCCCATTTGTCAGGAGGTGGATGCTACTGTTAACCCCAGCAGCCTGTCCCAGAGAAGTGTCCCAAAGGAAGCAGTGCAGCAAGGCAAAACCGTAAACAGCAGAGAGGGAGACAAAACACACACACATACACACCCAGCTTCCTCTGCTGCCAGAACGTGAACCAAGAAGTAGGCAGCTCTTAAATTTTCCACACAATACAAAAGCTTCTCCCAAATTCACCGAGACTTACCATTGCCCAAAATTGAGCTGAGGGGTTCAGTGTGTGCTCCCATAGCCCAGCTCTACATGCAGCATCCCTAACCCTATGGAGGATCACAGGAGGCTGCAAGCATATGGAGACTTGTTGCAGCTCAACTGGCATGTGCTGATCTTTTCAGGGGTCAAAACTTTATTAAAGGAAGTCTTTCCTTATCTGTGAGGCACTTTTACAGTAAAGCCTTCCATAGTGAAATTGCTCTGTGGATGGTTTTGCTACCAGCTATGCCCTGGCCAGCAGCTATCATAGCAGGACAGAGCAGCCAGGAGGCAGCTCCTACACAGTAATCAGAAATGAATCATCCCAGCACTGAAGTTTCCCAGCCCCATAGCTGAGCCCAGGAGACTTCCAGCTAAGAAAAGCTGATAAAAAAAGGCTGATAATGCTGAGTTTAGCAATAAATGTTTCAGTCCTGGCAGTGCCTTCTGAGAGCCTGAAGAGGCCCTTTACTTCCCTCCTTCAACATGATAACCGAATTGAGTTACCACATTCACCAAATGAATTCAGCACCTCTGCTCGAGAGGGTTTGGCAGCTGTCCCCAAGAAGATGCCCTCAATGTGAGAGTGCAGATCAGCTATAGGTGTTGTACTCAATTATTGTTGAAGATCACTATTTCAAAATTGGATGCAAGACCCCCAGGCTAGTGCTAGGTATAATCCTTTGTAAGGAGATCAGGAGTCCTGTTATTCTCTTAGATGGCTCCTTCCAAAGCTCAAATGACCTTTTAACATAACAGCCATGGGTGGGAGATACTTTCTGCCAGGTCAACACCTAAATTGTGGGTCAGAGGCTGGTTATGCCAGCAAAGCCCAGGTAGATCTGTGCACCTTTCTCCCTCTTCAAGACTGGGAGGGAGATTTAGGACCTGGTCTTCCACTTTCTTGCATGAATACACTAAGAAATAGGATGTGTATAAAAGGTTTGTGAACCCTGAATTCACATCTGCAGCTCCCTGTAGGCCTGAAGTGTAGAAAGAGGCAGAACTTTGTCACCCTCCTGTTCCATCCACACCGAGTAGTTTTATCTCCCCCTTTCCTGTGGTGAGGTGGCTCACTCAGATACTTCCTCCTTCTACTCTGGGCATCAGGAATTTAAAAAGTGTGAACAAGCTGAATGTTGCTATGCCTAAGACCTGTGCAGATACAGTCGTAAGCTCTTCAGGTAGGTACTGCATCATCTTCTTTGGCTGTAGACAGACACGTCACCGTACCATCTGAGTGCCTTCTGAATGCTCTTCTATCCCACTTGTCAGATGTGAAACTGAGGCACAGCCGGATGAAATGCCCTTCCTTGCATGTGAAGCATGGATGAGCCAGAAAATGCTTCTGTATAGTCCAGTATGTTGAAAACAATGTCCTACGTTGTCCTACAATGATCCTACAATGTCCCTAGCAAAGGATGTTGGAAGTGCTATTGAGCAGAAGTGTATTGTATTATTTACCTCAGAACCCTTATTTACTACATCCCCCCCCAACCTTAAAACGGCTTCTCTTCCATGTAGTATCATTATATGTGTCAAGCAATACAAAAGCATCCAACCTTTTTGTGCTGAACCCAGTGACAGGAGGGGACCTAGGCTTCCACTATTGTGTGCTCTTGTCTCCTTGCAGAATTGAGCATGTGCTATGTGTTGAAACAACAGTGAAACACAACTCCTGTATTATTTGCAATGTCTAACGCCATTGTTGATTGTTGTTTTTCCTAAAAGTGAATAGTTCTGGAAAACTGTGGGTCCTGTGACTTTCCATTTTTTAAACAAGTGAACTTGCACTCTGATAGCAACAGAGCCTCACACACTGTGACCTGCAGTCCCAGGCTGTATGTCTGCATCGAAAACAAAGACAGCTGCAGTTTGTCCAAATTAAGCGAAATCTTAGGTTAAAACGGTGATAATATGCCCTGCAGCTAGATATAAAGCATTATTTGAAACAAAGCTGGCACTGGAGCGTACAGCTTCCTACTTTCTGGAAGACACCGATGTATCAGATCCAGAAAAGTCCCTCCTCTGCACCCTCGTACTGCTTGGAAATATTGTAGGACATTTACGCGTCCACTTGGGCAGGGTGTTTATGATCGGTGTGGTGCACATTACTGCTTTTCAACAACTTCATCTGATAGAGGAAAAGTAAAACAAACAAGTTTTAAACAGCTGTAAAACAGCTCATTTTCATAACTCAAACCTAGTGTTCTCAAGATAATTCCAGGCCTCTGAGTTTGTCCTTGCCTTCCTTGATGTTTTGAGTGTATTGTGTAATCAGTAAATGTATAAACTGCTGAGGTTAATTGTTCACTCTGACATCTAAAAGTCAGGCAAGGGGAAAGTGAATAATTTTTGTTGTGGTTGAACCTGCTGTTATTTGGTACCTCTGTTTACATTTTCTGGGGTTTGCTGGAGCGGTTCATACTGTGGTGCCTGGAGATGTGAATCAGAGCCTAGTTATTACAAAGCAGAACAAATAACTAAACAGCGCTGCTCTCTTTTTGTCTCACACTCCATAGTTGAACACATTCTGGATCTTTTGACTTTCTTGACCCATGCTGTTGCAGTGGGGTCAAAAAAGTTTGTCATGACCTTTCCAAAAATCACACACAAGCAGCATCCCTCATCCTTGCTGTCCACAGGTGAAGATCCCAGGCAAGTCGAGTGCTGTGGCACCAGCATCTCCTCTTTACGGGCTACAAGTCCTGAGGGCTGAAAACCTGTGGTGTGTAAGATGGTGGTTTGCTGTGGGGGTCTCTGCTGTAAAATTTGTCTGTGTTAACTTGGTCTGGAGTACTTGTGATGACCACACTTTTGAATGAGAACTAGATATCAGAAGTTATAATTACTATGCAATCTTTAGTTAACAAATATATATATAAAATATATACAAAAATAACAAACTTTCTAAACTTTCATGTCTATGCCCTCACACAATTGTTATCAGTCACTGTTCAGTCCTAGGTGGAGCTGTGGTTTATTTCTTACTTCTAAATCCTCACTGTCTCATGCATCTATGAATTTTGGATGGATGTACAGTGTTCCTAGTGATTTGTAGCATGCCCTCCTTTCTCACTGCATGTTTCTCTTTCAGGATCTCCAAGCTCCTCTGCATATTTACAGATCCAACAGGGAGGTAAATGTGAGAGAGAAACTGCAACACTTCACGGCACATCTTTTATCTGTCCAAAGATTTGCACTGGGATCAGTATCATTGCACCTGATGCCACTTCTAGGCTGACGTGATTTCAGTGGAGCTTAATGAAGTTGCCATATTATAAAACTGATGTAATGATTTGTGGGCTGGAAATCACTGCTGAAAAAAAAAAATCTCTCTTGTGAAATATTGACTATTTAAATATTTTTTTTCCCTATAAAATCTTTTTTCACAGGAGGAAAAGTTCTGAAGAAGTTCACCTTGGAAGTATCCAAACATTTTTACTTCAGTATTTTTGAACTAAATGTAGCATTTTAATATTTTTGAATTAAAAATGTTTTCTTGTGAGCCAGCTAACTGGCTGTGATGCAAATTGTCTTATTCCCTTATTCTCCTGGACAATTTATATCCACCATAACAGCAAGCCCAAA